AAACACTTCCCAGTACTACTTTTGATAACTACAAAGCTTGCAACAACGCCTTACCAGTAGTACTTACTTTGGCTCTACAAAGCTTGCACAAGCTAAAAACCGTCCAGTACTACTTTGTAGTACAAAGCTTGCACAACACACTTCCCAGTACTACTTTGTACTACAAAGCTTGCAAAAAGTAGTACCCAGTACTACTTTGTACTACAAAGCTTGCACAAAGCACTTCCCAGTACTACTTTGTACTACAAAGCTTGCACAAAACACTTCCCAGTACTACTTTGTACTACAAAGCTTGCACAAAACGCGTTCCAGTACTACTTTGTTCTACATAGCTTGCACAAAGCACTTCCCAGTACTACTTTGTACTACAAAGCTTGCACAAGCTACTTCCCAATACTACTTTGTACTACAAAGCTTGCACAAAGCACTTCCCAATACTACTGTGTAATACAAAACTTGCACAAAACACGTTCCAATACTACTTTGTACCACAAAGCTTGCACAAAACACGTTCCAATACTACTTTGTACTACAGAGCTTGCACAATGCACTTCCCAATACTATTGTGTACTGTAAAGCTTGCACAAAACACGTTCCAGTACTACTTTATACTACAAAGCTTGCACAAAACACGTTCCAATACTACTTTGTACTACAAAGCTTCTACACACATCAAGTTCTTTCGCAGAGAAGCTTTTATACACAGCAAGCTTTTCAAGCAGAGAAGCTTTTACACACAACAAACTTCTTCACAGAGAAGCTTTCACCACACAGCAAGCGTTTACACACAGAACACTTACACACAATGCTTTTACACATGGCAAGCGTTTACACACAACAAGCTTTTACACAGACGAGCTTTACACAGCAAACTTTCACACACAGCAAGCTTCTTCACAGAGAAACTTTTACACACAGCAAACTTTCACACACAACAAGCGTTTATAGACAGAACACTTACACACAGTGCTTTTACACATGGCAAGCGTTTACACACAGAAACTTTTGCACAGAGACGCTTTTACACACAGAGAAGCTTTTACACACAGCAAGCTTTTACACAAAATCTTTTTCACACAACAATTTCACACACAGCAAGCGTTTACACACAGAACACTTACACACAGTGCTTTTACACATGGCAAGCGTTTACACACACAGCAAGTTTTTTAAATAGAGAAGCTTTTACACACAACAAGCTTTTACACAGAGAAGCTTTTACACACAGCAAGCTTTCACACACAACAAGCGTTTACACACAGAACACTTACGCACAGTGCTTTTACACATGACAAGCGTTTACACGCACAGAAACTTTTACACAGAGACGCTTTTATACACAGAGAAGCTTTTACACACAGAGAAGCTTTTACACACAGCAAGCTTTTACAGAAAAAAAAATTACACAGAGAAGCTTTCTTGTACATAATCACAACAGGAATTGCAGCTCCAAAACCGGATCTCGACGCCAAAGCGACAAAAAGACGATTTTGAAGCACTTTTTAAAAGAAATTTTAAAAGGAAAATTACTATACCAAAATTGCGAAAATCTACTGACAAATCACTATCGCAGCCTGGATACAGCCACTCCAATACGATTTACGATGTTCAGCTGTAAAAGACAATAGTATTACGCATGCAGCCGCGGTACCGAGCAACCTTGACGCAGCCACTACAATGCGATCTGCAGACACTGAGTTGCAAAACACACTAGAACTACCCGCAACGGTGTCGGAAATTGCAGCTCCAAAACCGGATGTCGACGCCAAAGCAGAAAAAAGACGATTTTGAAGTACTTTTTAAAAGGATTTTTAAAAGGAAAATTACTCGCGTGAAAATTGTAAAAATCTACTCGCAAATCACTATCGCAGCCTGGATGCAGCCACTCCAATACGATTTACGATGTTCAGCTGCAAAAGACAATAGTATTACGCATGCAGCCGCTGCACCGAGCAACCTTGACGCAACCACTACAATGCGATCTGCAGAGACTGAGTTGCAAAACACACTAGAACTACCCGCAACAGTATCGGAAATTGCAGCTCCAAAACCGGATGTCGACGCCAAAGCAGAAAAAAGACGATTTTGAAGCACTTTGCAAAAGGAATTTTAAAAGGAAACTTACCAGCTCCAAAATTAAGAAAATCCTGACACATCAATCTTGCAGCCTGGATGCAGCCACTCCAATACGATTTACGATTTTCAGCTGAAAAAAAAAATAGTATTACGCATGCAGCCGCGGCACCAAGCAACCTTCACGCAGCCATTCCAATGCGAGTTACAGAGACTGAGTTGCAAAACACAAAAGAACTACGCGCAACGGCCTCGGAAATTGCAGCTCCAAAACCGGATCTCGACGCCAAAACGAAAAAAAAAAATTGAAGCATTTTGTAAAAGGAATTTTAAAAGGAAACTTACCAGCTCCAAAATTAAGAAAATCCTGACAAATCAATCTTGCAGCCTGGTCCAATACGATTTACGATTTTCAGCTGAAAAAGCCCAGAGTATTACGCATGCAGCCGCGGCACGAAGCAACCTTGACGCAGCCATTCCAATGCGATCTGCCACCAGAGCTTCAAGAAACGCATAGAACTACGCACACATGAACAACCACTCGTTGCAAAACACATAGGAGGAACAATTCGCGACAGAAACGACCCCAGCCGCAACCGCC